GACTGTAGTGAATCAGGATAATGAAAGCAGGCCATAATGAGAACATTCCTCTTTTTTTTAATCTTGAAAAGTGTGGTGACTATTTGAAGAGTATACTTATTTTTACCAGTGTTGCCAATTACAATTTTAGCCAACTAAAAAGGAATGTTTGAATGTTTGTGTCATTTGAAAGGAATGTTACAAAAATAAATAAAAAAAATGTTCAGAATTTTCTTTTGTTTGGACTTTAAGGACTATTTCTTATTGCTTTATAGACTCGTCGCATGTTGTCATTTCATGGTAACTCGTAAGGTTTTGTGTTCTTTTTTTACCTTTTCCATGCGTTTCTTCATGATCTTTTCCTCTTCCTCTTGCTTTCTTTTTTTCCAGCGCTGTCTTTTCAATCTCATTATTTTCAATTCCTTTTGCCACTAAAAGATTTAGAAAGAACAGTAATAGATTTTTAGCAATTCTCTGCACATAGGCTACGTTCACATTGTCAGTTTTTGGGATTGACAACCGCATTTTCTTTACAGGTGTGAGTCTCGAAATGTCCCGTTCACACAGCAGCTTACAGTTGTGTTTAGAATACTGTCTGTATGAACGTGCAACGGGAGTCAAGCCCGTATTCCTTACCAGTAACCATAGCGACAGTGACCAAAGTAAACTCAAAGATGGCGACGTGCATAAAACTGAAAGTCTTATCACATTATGACACGACAAGAGTCCAATCGAGCTGCGAGTTCTTTCGTCAAATCTTCATTAACCAACAATTGTAACTGCTAATACGTTTAAAAAATGAAAATATTTTCAATAGCAAATGTTATGGGGGATTAATAATAGAATGTATAACAAAATTATCCCCTTCAATTTAATTTTATCATTATTATATAAAATCTATGACACTTATTGTCTTCTCACTACATCTAAAACAGTGTGTCCACAGAGAAGGGTTCAATCATTCATATGCAATAAAATGGATAAAAATGTTTTTTTTTTTTATGATGAAAAGGAGCTTGTTTTATCGAAAGCAACACTTAATAATATCTCCTATCAAAGCAAGGTTGTTTTGTAATGACACATGCATGTTTCATAAGATTTTAAAGTTGCGTCCCCACTTTTTGTCAACACCGTCAGACATTCAATAAAATGTAATAAAATCAGGGGCATCTGTCACTCTAAAGGATCCCCTTGCCACAGTTCACCTCTGCAGAGGACATCAGTGTCAGACAGGCTCTGCTAAGTTTTAGTTTTAGAATATTTTAAATCCTAATGTTAATATTTCCTGTGT